TTCCAGGACGAGCGTGTGTCTTGCTTTCCGACCGCCCCTCGCGGTCACCTGTCCCTCGATAGAATTCTTGGTGACTCGGATACTTTTGATATCGTTCGCCTTATGCGTTTTTGTTCTCGTATTGGCATCCTTGGTGATATTTAGCGCCCTCTGATTATTTTGCGTATTTGATGGTGCTACATAGCCTTCCCGGTTTGGTGCCTTCTTTTGATAATTACTTACTTACTTTTACCCCTCCTGCGGTTCCTGTTCCTCTTCACCACCTCCCTCTTTCTGTCCGGTTATCTCGCCTACAGGATTCTCTCTCCGTTCGTATTTCTGATGTTTCTCCTCGTGTTGTTCCTTCTTTGCCCCCGTGGAGGGTCCCTCTTCCGCGGTTTTGTACTTCCTTGACCCGTATCACTAAAGCTTTTACCCCTCCTACGGTTCTAAAACGCCTTTTCCTCGAGCACTTTTCTTCTCACTCCCGCTCCGTTTCTGTCTTCACCGATGGGTCTAAGTCAGCGGACGGTGTTGGCTACTCTGTTATTTTTCCTGATCGCACTTATATGTGTCGCTTGCCTCCGGAGACTAGCATCTTTACAGCAGAACTTTATGCTATTCTCTATGCTCTTCGTCTCCTGCTTTCTCGTTGTCAGTCTTCCTTTGTGGTTGTTGTTGACTCTCGTAGTGCCCTCATGGCTCTCGGGTCCTTTAATCCGGTTCATCCAGTAGTTGTCGAGATCCAGCATTGGCTGTTTCTCGTTCACAGTAAATTTAAGTCGGTTGAGTTTTGTTGGGTTCCCAGCCATATTGGTGTGTCTTTAAATGGGCGTGCGGATGCTGCCGCTAAGGAAGCTGTCTGCTCTTGTCCCATCTCTCGTAAAGGCATTCCGTATTCCGACTTTTACCCAGTTATCCATTCCTCAGTTCTTACCCGTTGGCAGGCTTCTTGGTTGTCTGTTACTGGTAACAAGCTACGTACTCTTAAATGTTGTGTTTCCTCGTGGCCGTCCTCCTTCCACCGTAACCGGCGGTGGGAAACAGCTCTGGCGAGGTTGCGTATTGGCCATACTCGCTTAACCCATGGTCACTTGATGGAGCGCCGCCCTGCTCCTTATTGTCCTAGTTGCATTGTCCCTCTTACGGTCGTGCATGTCCTTCTTGAATGTCCTGACTCCAGGACGAGCGTGTGTCTTGCTTTCCGACCGCCCCTCGCGGTCACCTGTCCCTCGATAGAATTCTTGGTGACTCGGATACTTTTGATATCGTTCGCCTTATGCGTTTTTGTTCTCGTATTGGCATCCTTGGTGATATTTAGCGCCCTCTGATTATTTTGCGTATTTGATGGTGCTACATAGCCTTCCCGGTTTGGTGCCTTCTTTTGATAATTACTTACTTGCTGCGAAGACCTCCGTTGTTGCCGTCCTTTTTGACCTGGAAAAGGCTTACGACACCACTTGGCGTTATCATATTCTATCTCAACTTCATTCTTTTGGCCTTCGTGGTAATCTCCTTCTCTTCTCCGCAGCTTCCTCTCTCGTCGTTCCTTTCGAGTGAGGTTTGGTACCACTCTCTGCCTCTTTTCAGCAATACGAAGGTGTGCCCCAGGGTAGTGTTCTGAGAACTACTCTTTTTCTGGTTGCCCTCAATGGTCTTCTTTCCTCTCTTCCTTCTGGCGTCTTTTCCGCTCTCTATGTCGCCGATCTTACCCTTTGTTGTCAGGGTGATGATTCGCCTCTCCTTCAATGCCGGCTTCAACTTGCCATCGATACCGTGTCGTCTTGGGGCACTGATCATGGCTTCAAGTTCCCTACATCTAAGACTTGTGCTATGACTTTCACTCGGAAGCGTGTCATTCTTTGTCACTTTATGGTCACCCCCATTGTGTACAAGGATTCCGCTAAGCTTTTGGGGTTGATTTTTGACACTCGTTTGTCTTGGTCGCCCCATATCTCGTACCTCCGTGTTGAATGCTCTAAGGCCCTTACCCTCCTTCGGGTCTTGTCCCATACTTCTTGGGATGCGGATAGGCGCACTCTACTCGCCTTACATTCCTCTCTCGTCCTGTCTAAGCTCGATTATGGTTGCCCTGCTTACTCGTCTGCTTCTCCTTCTACTCTTCACCGTCTTGATGCTTTGCACCATACTGGGTTGCGCCTCAGTTCTGGTGCCTTTCGTTCGACTCCCGTCCTCAGCTTGCATGTTGACGCTGGGTTCCTGTCTCTCCAGGACCGTCGTGATCGCTACTGTTTTCGCTATCTTGCGCGGTCCTTGCAACATCCTTCCTCTCGCCTCTGTCGTGCTTTAACATTTACCCCTCCTGCGGTTCCTGTTCCTCTTCACCACCTCCCTCTTTCTGTCCAGTTATCTCGCTTACAGGATTCTCTTTCAGTTCATATTTCTAATATTTCTCCTCGTGTTGTTCCTTCTTTGCCCCCGTGGAGAGTCCCTCTTCCGCGGTTTTGTACATCCTTAACCCGCATCACTAAAGCTTTTACCCCTCCTACGGTTCTCAAACGCCTTTTCCTTGAGCACTTTTCTTCTCCCGCTCTGTTTCCGTCTTCACCGATGGGTCTAAGTCTGCGGACGGTGTTGGCTTCTCTGTTGTTTTTCCTGATTGCACTTATATGTGTCGCTTACCTCCGGAGACTAGCATCTTTACAGCGGAGCTTTATGCTATTCTCTATGCTCTTCGTCTCCTGCTTTCTCGTTGTCAGTCTTCCTTTGTAGTTGTTGTTGACTCTCGTAGTGCTCTCATGGCTCTCGGGTCCTTTAATCTGGTTCATTCAGTGGTTGTCGAGATCCAGCATTGGCTGTTTCTTGTTCAAAGTAAATTTAAGTCGGTTGAGTTTTGTTGGGTTCCCAGCCATATTGGTGTGTCTTTAAATGAGCGTGCGGATGCTGCCACTAAGTCTGTTACTGGTAACAAGCTACGTACTCTTAAATGTTGTGTTTCCTCGTGGCCGTCCTCCTTCCACCGTAACCGGCAGTGGGAAACAGCTCTGGCGAGGTTGCGTATTGGCCATACTCGCTTAACCCATGGTCACTTGGAGCGCCGCCCTGCTCCTTATTGTCCTAGTTGCATTGTCCCTCTTACGGTCGTGCATGTCCTTCTTGAATGTCCTGACTTCCAGGACGAGCGTGTGTCTTGCTTTCCGACCGCCCCTCGCGGTCACCTGTCCCTCGATAGAATTCTTGGTGACTCGGATACTTTTGATATCGTTCGCCTTATGCGTTTTTGTTCTCGTATTGGCATCCTTGGTGATATTTAGCGCCCTCTGATTATTTTGCGTATTTGATGGTGCTACATAGCCTTCCCGGTTTGGTGCCTTCTTTTGATAATTACTTACTTACTTGATACAACCCTTCATGTGTGTGTGTGTATATACATGTACATGCACACATACAGTACATACATACTGGCTTCCTGTCCCCAATAGAATGAATTGTCATTATTTTTATCATTAGTGTGTAGATTCCCAATTATTTTCATGCTTCATATTTTTTCACTAGGCCACATTGTCTAAATGTGTGTTGTTGGTGGTAATGTTTCAGCTGGCCCTTAAGGTGGGATTCACAATCAACGGCCATCTTTCATATAGTGTCTTGTTCACTAATACGACGTCCCATTCATCATTGTCAGTTTTGTTGACATTATCCCATAGTCCTACCTCACAACAACATGACACATTATGAACAGTTAGGAAGATACAGCTCACTGGTGACAAATTGAATTATTTAACTTCAGGATTGGGAGACGTGTCTTAGTTACCGGCAAGTGTTGGGTAATAAGAGTCTAATTTACATAAAGGCATCATTTACCTGGACAGTTATTTAGTTCAAGTATGGAAATAATTGGAACAGCTCATCTGTAGTTATTATGATGTAGACAGTTTTGGAATCGTGGCAAAGTGGTTATATTTTTTAATGAAACACTTGTTCACTTTGTTACATTTTATAAGAGATACATACTGTATACTGTAATTAGTTAAATAGCATCTTGAAAATAAAATGTTCAGTGGAATCATTCAGAATGTCAAGGTTAGCGCTGTAAAGCATTGTAAGTTTTTGAGACCTGATTAATTTATAATGTAATGTGATGCAATTGACTCGCCTTTCATTATATTACATGTGCCATTTTCATGCAAGATTTGCCATTATCCACAAAATGATTGATTACTTTTCATCTGTCTACATTCACTTCGTCATATTTCCTCGGAAGAGGATAATTCACACAGCCTGTACTCTTATAACACTGTACAGTACTGTAAACACTGCACATACCTGCAAAATCAGGAATACAGGTATAAGCAGCTTGCATGCACCCAAGTACTGTACGTGCACCCTTTTGCATCACCTCGCCATGTATATTATCATGCAACTGGTATCTTCCTTAGCAATTTTCATAATGTTTCTAGGTATATATATATATATATATATATATATATATATATATATATATATATATATATATATATATATATATATATATATATATATATATATATAAAATATAGTATTTTGTCGTACCTTGTACCCAGAATGCACTCCTTGCCTTACTATGCAAGACCCGATTTACCTAATAGGCCGAGTGATTTTCTTTACTTTAAAACAATTGTTTCCAATTGGTTTATTTGAATTATTATTATTATACTGTATTATATTAAGAACATAAATTATTGACTTAGTTATGTTTAGGTTTGGTTAAGATAAATTAGGTTAGGTTAGGTAGAGTTGGTTAGGTTCGGTCATATATCTACATTAGTTTTAATTCAAAAACAAATACCGTAACTCATATATAATGAAATGAATAGCTTTATCATTTCATAAGAAAAAAAGTAGAAAAATATATGAATTCAGGAAAACTTGGCTTATTAGGCAAATTAGGCCTTGCATGCTGTAGTAGGCCGAGTACTGCATTCTGGCTACTAGGTACAAAATAAATATAAATATATATACAGTATATTGTAAAGTTTTTGCTCGTGTAAAATTTTGTATGATAAGGATCCTATACCTACCTCGTAGTGCATGTCTTGAGAGGTCATAATATCGAGTTGTTTCTTGCAATTCAAGCCATTCACTGCCTTGTAAAATGTGTGATGGATACACACACACATCCATGGATTTCAAGTTTATTAGGTTATCATAGATTAGGCAAGCTTATTGGTTAATGACAATTTATGCCTCTCAGTCAAGGTATTCTTTAAAACTTAAATCTTATTTATATTTAGATGTGGGCAGCTCAAGGTATAAAGTGAACAGCTTTAAAATGTACAAGAATATTTACTTTATAGTATTTTGTACATGTAAATAATATTAGTACAAGGTCACAAAAGTACTGCATTTATGAGAGTAAATAAAACAATAGAATCTCAAAAATGGGCTAATAATATCTCATGACATTATTTTTATTAATTTAGTCTTTATCTTGGTACAGTATTTGTATGGCAGTATTATTTCCAGTTAATGTCTTTCCTACCACACCTATTTGTAATATAGTTATGTGTTACCTGTTCAAAGACATTGCTGTAATGTAATGTAACTAGTGTGTTTTGATACTAAGACCTACAGTTTTGCACAAATGCATTTAATTTAGTGTTAGTATGATATGTAATAATTTTATAAACTGTAAATTTAGTGAAATATGAAACCAGAATGAAATTAAAAGTACATTAAGATTTTTTATGTATTTGTAGTTTTTTTTATCCTATTACAGTGCCATTTATTTAAGCAGTTGAGTTGGTTTCAGGGCTTAGCGTCCCCATGCAGCCCGGTCATTGCCTAGGCCTCCTACTGTAATTTGGTCATTTAATGGCCAAAATTGCAGGTTTTATAATTTAAACTGCCACCTTAAGTGATTTCTCATCTTTTGAACACCATATGTGTATGAAGTTATTTTCCTTCATGAAATCAACAAGAACTTCTCGGAGAACATGGCTGACTGATCAACACTGGTTATTTCTGATCAAAGTGGTAACTGCATAGACATTTCAACAGACATAGCAAAAATTGTCATTAAAAAGGTGTCAAGCCTCGGGACAAAACGCTAACAAATTATTGAATCGTCGTAAATAAATGTTCATTTTGAATTGTTGTAATTTTTGAACAATGTATTTGTTGCTGTTGCATAGACGTCTATGATGCCGTTTACATTTTTTTTTTTTTTTTTTTGAAGGAAGGGCCAAAAGCTATTACAAGTTCAACAGTTCAAGTAGGTGTTTTCTGGTGTAATGGATAAATGGCGGCAGGCTGGGTGGGGTGAAGTAGTGACTGGATCAGAAGATAGATGGCAGGCTGGGCAGGGGTGAAGGAGCAGCTGGATCAGAAGATAGATGGCAGGCTGGGCAGGGGTGAAGGAGCAGCTGGATCAGAAGATAGATGGCAGGCTGGGCAGGGGTGAAGCAGTAGCTGGATCAGAAGATAGATGGCAGGCTGGGCGGGGGTGAAGGAGCAGCTGGATCAGAAGATAGATGGCAGGCTGGGCAGGGGTGAAGCAGTAGCTGGATCAGAAGATAGATGGCAGGCTGGGCAGGGGTGAAGGAGCAGCTGGATCAGAAGATAGATGGCAGGCTGGGCGGGGGTGAAGCAGTAGCTGGATCAGAAGATAGATGGCGGTGTAGCGTGAGGGCGTGAGAGAGGTGAGCGAGGGCGAGTGTCGCGTCTGGTGGCCCCTGGAGGGCCTGCCGCAGTGGATACAAGACACTCCGTACATTGACAACATCGCACACTAATATTTTTACCACTTCGGACACCAGCGTTAGACGTTTCGCATATGTGTACGTGTTCCATATTAAAACGACAATATAATGCTATTAACAA